CTGGCAAATTACGGGGAAGGCGCCCATCGGAACCAGATGGATAGACACCAACAAAGGAGATGAGTTAAGCCCAGACCACAGATCAAGGCTGGTAGCCCAGCAAGTTAAATACAACTCCAAAGAAAAGAACATATTCGCAGCTACACCTCCACTGGAAGCACAAAAACTGCTTTTCTCAATGGCAGTTACCGAGGGAGTTGGATTCACGAGCGGTGAGCGTGAGAAAGGATTAAAGCTAGCATTCATTGACATCAAACGAGCTTACTTTTACGCTCCAGCAAAGAAAGACATATTTATCAGGTTACCAGATGAAGACTATGAACCAGGTATGTGCGGAAAGCTGTTAAAATCAATGTACGGAACCAGAGACGCTGCGAGTAACTGGGAGGACTGTTACATGGATTTTGCCAACGAAGCTGGGTTCAAGAGTGGAATTGCATCACCATGTGTGTTCAAACATGAGAGTCGAGCGTTATGGTTAACAGTTCATGGAGACGATTTCACGCTGTTAGGAGGTGACCATGATCTCGACTGGTTTGAAAATAAAATTAAGGAGGAGTTTGAAGTGAAAGTGAGAGGACGACTTGGACCAGGGAAGGAGGACATGAAAGCGATCAGAATTCTTAACAGGATTGTGGAATGGACACAGGAAGGATTGAGGTATGAGGCAGATCAAAGGCATGCAGAGATAATTGTGAAAGAGCTTGAGCTAGAAGGAGTAAAGGTGAGGACTGAAGTGCCAGGTGAGCGAATTCCAGTTGAAGAGGGAGATGAGGAAGAACTTTCGCCCAACATGACTAAAAGATATCAAGCGTTGACGGCCAGAGCAAATTACTTAGCTCAGGACAGGTCTGATATACAGTATTCGGTAAAGGAACTCGCTAGGACCATGTCAAAGCCCACGATGAGCTCTTGGAAAGGTTTAGTCAAGTTAGGAAAGTATTTGAAGTACCACAGCAGAAGCGGCTATGTGTATCAATATCAGGAGCAGCCCCAAGAGTTAACCATTTGGACTGACACAGATTACGCAGGATGTAAGCGAACGAGGAAGTCTACGAGTGGGGGAGTAGTGATGTGGGGTAAACATCTCATAAAGTCCTGGAGCACGACTCAGAGTGTAATTGCGTTATCGTCAGGTGAAGCAGAGTATTACGGACTGGTGAAAGGAGGGCCAGTGGGTTTAGGACTTCAGGCAGTATTGAGAGACTTTAACTTGGAAGTTGAGATTACAGTGAAGAGTGGCGCCACAGCTGCGATTGCCATCGCAAGCAGACGAGGATTGGGGAAGGTAAGACATATCGAGGTGTGTCAGTTGTGGTTACAGCAGAAAGTTAAGGAGGGAGTGATTCGTATTGTGAAAGTCGGGACACACGAGAATGCAGCAGATGCGTTGACCAAGTATGTCAGTCGTGAAAGCATGAGCACACATCTACGAAACACGAATCAATGTGCATTAACAGGCAGGCATGAGCTTGCACCAGCTACTGAATGTTGACGTATCGAATGTTGATGTTCGCAGCTCATTTCTGTCAAGCAAACTGCAGCTATTAAAGGCCTTCTCCACCCATCACCTCTCACTCTTGAGCGTGAACGAGAGCATGGCGGCTCCCCAGGTCAACCTCACCATCAACGGCTCCATGGTCGACCAGAGCCCAGCTGGGGATGGACCGGTTACGCGTGAGAACCTCAACCGCCGTGTTGACGACATGGTGCACGTTGCCCACGCGTTTACCGTCACCCTCACTAACATGGCGATTAACTTCCACGGAGCCTACGACAAACACGTTGACGAGGTGCAAAGGGCCGCGGATGACATGGCGGCGAGGATCGAGGAGTTGACGCGGCAGAACGATGCGCTGATCCAGGACAGTGACGACGTCAACGAGAATCTCCAAAGGGCGCAGAAGGAGATTAACGACCTGATGGCGACGATTACGGACCTGAACATTCAGAACCGCGACTCGGGGGTTAACACGGAGGAGAATGCAACCAAGTATAGGCGCATCAACGACAACATTAGTTACCTCCTGAACACCGCCAAGCGCCTTACCGATAACATCACGCCCCTGCAGGACTTCGAGGGTAAACGTGATGCGGCGCTACGCCTGTTGGTGGCAGTAACGGAGAGGCTGGAAGGATTACAGAGGTTCTTGCATGACCCGATCAACTCCCCGGTTACCAACATCCCGCAGGTTCCTCCGCCGTTACCCGAGCAGCCCCCAACAGCAGTGGTCGCCAAGGCACCTCCCACTGCAGTCAACGCGACGGCCGGGGCCAGCCAGCCTCTAGCCCGAGCTGCCGCAGCATCGGGTGCACCCCCGGCTCAGGGCTTTACCGGCACCACGCCCAAGACCGGAGGGTTCGGTCGATCCGTGTCGCCGAATAAGATCCCACAGTCAACGTCGCCTCAACCTGTTTACAAGAAGGCACCCAAGGCCATGCATGAGCGTAAGCGGGAATTGGAAGAGTTACTGCAGCTGGGAATGAAGATGGATGAAGATCGTGCACAGGGCAGTCAACGTGACGAAGCAGCAAAAGGCCCTGCCCCGGTGGTTAAAGCGAGGGCGCCCAAGCCGCCTCCTCCAGGCCTTGGAGAGTCAGGTGCATCAAGCAGTGTTAGCGGCATGAATCCCCCGCCTCCGGTGCCCAAGAAGTTATCGACCCAGTATGTTCCTCCGCCGCAGCCTCGAGCTGTTAACCGTGCGGACGAGCAGCTTGCGGCATGCTCGCGGAACGTCGCCAGGGGCATGTACCGGCCACTGTATCATGTCAACGGCCGCATGCCTATGGTAAACGACAAGAGCGAGGACCACGACGTCAACTACAAGGTGGAGCCCGACCCCAGGGAGGTAGTCGCATTAACGATGAAGACGCGCGACAACTGGCGCAGGTTCGAAGGCAACTTCGTCGGACATGTGGCAAAAGAGGGGTTAACGACTCCAGGTGGTCGATCTATTCCGGGCAACGCGGGGCGGGAACTCAACGACTACGATGAGGTGTTCGTCGACATTTACGGGCAGCACGCCTACGGCTTCCTTGGTTACTCCGTGTTAAAGGGCCCAAGCAGCTGGAGGTCTCAGTTGACGGAGAAGGAGCTGGAAAAGCACGACGAGTGGGTTGACGCGGTCGGGCACGTACAATCCCTGTTCGACGACGAGTACGTGCCGCCGATTCACGTCAACGATCTCCACCCAATGTGGTTCGACGTTCACAGCTGCCCAGACACACAGGTCTACGTCAACAAGGCGCCAGAAATGAACGAGAAACAGCTTAACGGCCTTCTGCTAACGTGGGCCGGGATGCTGCCCCACGGCAACCCCACCGTGGTCTCCGTTAAGCACCTGGTGGAAGACACCTTCGGACCGCACGGCTACATCTCAACTGGGGTTACCGTGATCAGGTTTGCGACGCACGACCTCGCCAAGCTCTATTGTCGTTACATGAACGGGCTCCAGGTGTATTACCGCAACTACTTCATCGAGGATCTCGAGGTCAGGAGCGCCGAGGAGTTAAAGGGCAGCATCAACAAGCCCCCGGTTTACTGGCACCAGACCATCCTGGAGGTCGCTCTTAACGACCAGGGGTCCATGAGGGCGCTCTACCGTGACAACTGGCCTGCGGATCACATTACCGAGCGTAAAATTGACCACCGCGAGAAGCTCTGTTGGTTTGGGTGGTTGCCGTGTGACGACTTTGCCAACTGGCTTACCGACCCTTACTGGACTGTGAACCCGTTTACCGGAGTTGCGGTCGAGGAGCACCTCCGCAACAATCCAGGTGGTAAACCTCTGCTGAAGGCTCCCCACGCCAGTTACTGGAGGGCCATTGGTACTTACCACAATATTGTTGACGGGTCCACCAAGAGCTTTGACGAGGGGTGCTGGTTGGACGACGAGGAGCGCATTAACGCGTACCTGGACACCGACTATTACAGCCCGACGCAGGCCCTTAACAGGGTGTCGTCCTATACGGCGGCCAGCGTGGGGCACCGTGGTTTACCGCAGTCCAGGGGCGCGCGTGCTCCGTCAGTGAGGCGCCCGCGCCGGTCGTAAACGGTAGCAGGTGACCGGCATGTCTTTCTTTTACGCTCGCCCTCATCTCCCCTCTCAACCAGGCTTAACAATAGCGTTGCAGTAGACTATTGAGCTGAATCTATTTGCATGTGCATCTTTTATAGTTACCGCAGGTATTGGCGCATAAAAAGCGAAAGCAATCAAAACCATGTAAATGCTAGCCTGCCGTGTGAACTTTGGATGCTACTTTTAAACTCGTAACTGATTGAATGTTTACTTGAGCTCACGTTACATGTCTGAGAGACGTGGTGCTCGTGAACGTGGTTATGAGATATTTCGAATTCGGCAGTGTGACGATACTCACGCAGCCTGTCGCTTGATTTAACCTGTCTTTGTGTTTACAAGCACTTCCCCGTCAGCTAATGCGGACTGGCGTCCGAGGGGGGTGTTAACATGCAAGCATGCGTGTGACAGGGGAGGTATAGTAACCCCGCTGCCTTTGGCTCAAGTGTTTAACGGTCGAAGTCACATCGACCAGTTGCGCAGTTCGGGAGTATAAAGGTGACCTATCGTTATCATTGTCGCCAAGCTCCCGTGCAGAACCCTCCTCGGGGTTTTGCAGGAGGAGGAGGAGGAGGAGGTGGGGGAGCTGGGGAAGGGCGAGGATCCGCGAGGAGGAGGAGGGCAGGCGCCAGCCGCCCCGGGCCTTCACGGGGCCGTCGGGCTCCCGCCCCGTTGCAAGCGGGTCCCACGCACCCCGAGGTCCAGGCGCTGCAGCTCTTCTGCCCAGCGTCGGGCCCCGGGGCCATCACGCGCCGATCAGGCTGGGGAAACGTATGAGAAGGATGGGTCAAGGGATTTTGGTCGTGATCCTCCGCGGAGCTGCGGTGCTTCGCAGCGTCGGACCTCGGGGTGCTCCACGGTCTGGCCCAAGAGATGGCCCCGTGGAGGCCCAGGCGGCAGCGCGCGGTGTGCCTCTCCCCCAAGGAGAAGGCGCGGCGCGATCGCCTCCGGGAGGTGTCCATGAGGGAGAAGGAGGCCAAGGACCACGGGGTTCAGAAGTAGCCAGGACGATTCGGATGTGTTCCTGACGCTTCGCGTGTCCCCACGAGGCACAGGGGCGGAATTTAGGCCGTTGCTTGTTAGCCGCGTTTCTGGACGGCGCCTGGCGCCCCTGCGCGCTTGCGAAAACAAAAAGTATCCCCACGAGTCCCTCCAGAAACGGGTGCCCTGGCGAGCTGTCGGGAGGAGGGGCGTGGATACGCATATTTGACATATTCGGGTCAGCTACACCGGACCCCCCCAGAGGAACGCACATGATCCCAATTGCACCAGAAAAAGTACCACGCCGAAGTACGAGTGCCAGAAATGTGCTGTGCAGATGTACGAAGTATAGAAGTTCAGAACTCCGAAGTGTGAAACACATATGACAAAAGTAGATCGATACTTGTGTTGCACTTTCCCACATCGTATTGTTTCATTGTTTCGCGCTTTGTGTCTCACCTTTTCTCGCATTTTTTCCCACTTTATGTTTCTCTCACTTGCTCTTGTGTTCTAATTTATCTAAGCATGCTTTGGTACTTTGGACGTGAGTTCGTACTTTTTTGTACCCGTACTTGCGCGTTGCGCATTTTTCGCACTTTCGTTTCGCCGACCTTGCCTGGCTCGTTCTTTCGATGCGTACTTATTTTGCATTCGTGCTATATCGTGTCCTACGTAACGTAGACTTTTCTTTTATCTTGCCCAAATCGAAGATCTCTCGAACGAGCCGGCCTCGAGTCTCATGAATGCATGCAGTGAAGCAGAGGGGCCAACGATAGGATGCATTTGGAGATCTCTGGGAGCCTCTTCGTCCTCTTGGGCTACCCTGGAGCTCTCTGGGGGCCTTCCTGGGAGCCTTTGATCGGCGTCACCCCAACATACTCATACTATATGTGCGTCGCCCCCCTGGGGGCGATGCGCGCACCGAGAAATCTTGTAATGTATGCGTCGTGGCGGGCGCTTTCTGGCCACACCGCTGGGGAAACGATCTATTACAAGATGGGTGTACTATATGTTCAGTTCGGACGCGCGCCTCCAAGGAGGACATATCGTATCAGTATGTCTCTGTGCGTCCCATTTGAGGCCGCACCGGGGCTCTCCCGGGGCTCTCCCAGTGGAGGCGCCCGGGCCACCAAGAGGGCGGCACCGAGGTCGGCCCCACGCCAGTCACAGCCTGGACAGTCGCCCCTCGGTCGGGGCCCTCTCTTCTCGGGGCGCTCCTCGGGGGCCGTCTTGGAGCCCCTTTGGGCACCGCTTGGGGCTACCTTGGGCGATCTTGTTGCCACGCAGTCGTTCTCTTATTCGCTGCTTCGCCGATCTCCGCGGGCCCTCGCTTCCCCGCCCCATATCCCCCCCCCACCCCCATGGAGTAGATCTTGGCTGCTTTTGGCGCCTGTCTCGAGCAGATGGAGTCCCCCCCCCATCGGACGCGCTGTTACAAACAGTCGCGCTAAGCAAAGGTCCAGAGCCAGACCCCCCTCCCCCCCTTCCGCCCAATGTCGAAACGCCGAATAAGAAAACGTTCGCCATCTTGAGGCCTCAGGGGTCGACCAGAAGAGAAAAGGCAATGATGTCATCCTTGAGCAGCTTCCGGTGCTCGATGAATTGTCTGAGACTCGTTATCCTGCAATCGAGTGGCCTCGAATGTTTCTGATCACTGCGTCGTCTTGCATTGATCTCATTCTCGCGGTGACGTCTTGGCTTAGCCTGCAGCTCACGCAGTGCCCGCCCGCCCAGAGGCGCAGGTCACTTGCGGGAGCTGTCCTGCGTGCCCGCCGGCGCCGGCGGTCACCTGCGGGCACTGCCCTGGCTGCCCGGACTGCCCGGCCTGCAGCCTGAGCTGCGGCGCGGGGCCGGGCTGGCGGGCAGTGGGCGCCGCCCAGGCCGTCGGCCTGCTGCTCGGCGTGTGTGGCCGCGGGCTGCTGCGGGCTGCTGGCTGGATCGCCGCGCGTGCGGCGGGGCCCGCCACGTTCCAGGTCGAGGGCGCCCCTTCCGTCGCGCTCGTCGTGGAGGAGGCCGTGTCGACGGACGGTGGCGCGCGGCCTCGCTCTCGGGCCGTCCGAGCGTGAGTGTGGCCATCGGCTAGATGGCCCAGCGGACGCTCGACGTTCCCGAGTCGCAGGTGTACATCATTTTCGACGACGACAACTTCAGGTGGCACCACCATCTCCTGCTGGTGCAGCTGAGCCCCGGCGTCTGGGTGGTCGCGAGCCCGGGTGGGGAGGTCTTCGTGCTGGACCTCAGCGGGCACCTGGTCGTGGCGTTCCGCCGCGCGGCGGCCTTCCCCGCCAGGGTGCGGAGCCAGGTCTGCGCGGTCGGGGGCCAGAGCGAGGAGGACATCGAGGCGCTTCGTGTGGAGACGCGCGGGCTGGCGATCGTGACGGGCGTGGCTGCCCCTCCCGCTGCGCATGGCGCGACGGTGTCCCGATGGGTCGTCTCGGACCCCGGGTCGCCCGACTTTGGGAAGGAGCTCGACCTGCAGATCTCGGGCAATCCAGAGGCTGGTGTATCGGGGCGCGGTCGGGATCGCCATGCTCAGCGAGGAGGAGTGGGGAGTGGTGGGTCTCGGTGGAGAACGTGCAGGAGGCCAACGAGGAGGACGGGCGCGCAGAGAAGAGGCGGGGGCTGGGGCGAGACCCTCGGACCTCCTCGCTCTCTCGTCGTGGGCCAGGTCACCAGGTGATGCTGTCGGAGGCACTCGGCAGGATAAAGTCGATCGAGATCTCCGACTGGCTGTTCCGCGGCCCGAAGGCCCTACGGTGCTGACGCTCACGTCGTGCTGGGGGCTTCTGGGTGACCGAGTCGGGCGTCTCGAGGAGCGCGGGCGTCGCGCAGGAGATGCGGCACGTGCTGAACGTGCTGCATCACGCCGTGACGTTCGACTTGCTTGACGCCTCGAACTCGCGTCGTTCGTGTTGGTGGGTCGCTGAGTGCTCCAGATCCAGCGCGCGGTGAAGCGGTGCTCTCGTCATCTGAGCTTGGAGGGGCTGGGGCTGATGCGCCTTCGTGGCCGTTCTCAAGCAGGGGCGCCTCTACCGCGAGGAGCAGGAGTGGGGGTCGAGGAGGCGCGACAAGATCGGCGACGATCGCATGCCCCCAGAGGCGGACGCAAAGGCCAAGGCGAAAGCCAAGGGCGGGGCGTCCAGGAAGGAGCAGAGTGGACGGCGACACGGTGGCGCCGACGTGGCTGGGCTCGCCGCCCGGCCCCCCGCCGCGCCGCTCGACTGCTGCAGCTGCGGATGCGCTTCGAGCTGGGCGGCCTTCCGAGGGGGTCTCCTCCGAGGGCCGGATTTCGTCCGCAATTTTGTTACTTCCTCCTCCTCAGGGCGATGAGTTTTTTTTTGTCGGCCTCGTCGGGGAGAACGTGCCGCGCTGCCTCGGTATCTGGCTCAGCGTGCTGTTCGCGGTGATGCTAGTGACCGTCGGTCTCTCGAGACTCTGGGGGCGCTCAATGCCTTGGCAGCTGCTCGGGCTTCTGGGCGTCTCGGGCCTCGAGCGCCTTGCAAGCGTCGACGGACTACCGCGCAGGAGTCGGTCATCAAGCGGGTCCGGCGTCGCGTCCGCGGCTTCGGCGATCGCCCGAAGGGCATGGGCTCAGCTGGAGCCCTGCAATTGCTCCTCTAGTGCAGGGATCTGTCTTCTAACATGGGCGAGTGTTCTACTCGCCGCGACCATGATGCTCACGTACTCAGTGTTCTCAGAGGGGGTCTTGATGATCGACCCCCAGCAGCTTCGGAGCATCGCGCCGCGGCATGTCGCGGAGGTGCTCGACAACTTCGACTCTGACGTGGCGAGGCCTGCCGCGGCCATCCCCGAGGACGAGGTCATCGTCGAGCCGTGCTGGCACCCGCTGCTCAACCCGCGAGACCCTCGGAACCGTTCGCGGCTCGTGGACTTCTTGCGGCGGCTTGCCCAGCGCGGGTTGGTGGACGGCCGTTGCCGTCGCAAGGCCTGTGTCAGCGCCTTCTTTGTGGCGGAGAAGAACAGGGGCATCCGCGCGGTCGTGGGCGCGCGGCAGCCGAACCCGCTTCACAAGTTGCCCCCGCGCACTGTGCTGGCCTCTGGCGAGGCGCTGGGCTCGATCAGCCTCTTGGACGCGATCGACGCGAGCCCCGAGGACCTCGCCGACTTCGATGGCTGCTGTGGGTCCCTGTGTGCTGGTTCGGTGGATCTCATGGATGGGATGGGTTCTACCAGTTTGCCGACCCGTCCTTGGGAAGTTGGATGTGGTTTGACGTCGAGGTCGCCGCCCGCCTTGCCGATGGGCTAGAGCTGGGCGCTCTGGATCTGCCGCGAGGTTCTCGTCGACGCGATGGATGCGGCCGGGGTCCCCGGCGACGGCTGTTGCCTTGACGGAGCCCGCGCCCCGGCCCTCGTCGGGCGTTCGGTGGCCAGGGCGCTGGGCGTCGACAATGGGAACCTCTTTTCGCTCAGCGCCTTGGCGGTCAGCGACCGGCTCGACAGACTCACCGACGAGCTCGACAGGCGCGGTCTGCGTTGGCATAAACTGGAGCGTGCCCAGCCTGGTCTCGTCATCCTCGGGGTGGTGCTGGGCGGGCGCGAGGGGGGGCTCGGGCGCGCCTCCGAGCGCGCCGGGCGGCTCTACCTCGCGCTGCACCGCGTTTTGCAGGGGCCCTGGCTGGCGCGCTGGCAGCCGCGGCGGATCGTCGGGCACCTGTTGCACTACTTCAAGGCCAAGGATGCCCTCGCCGGGTGGCCCGCCAAGCTCCCGCCATCGCTGCGCGACCCTCCTCCGTTCGAGGCGCTGCTCCTGACCTGCGCCGTGCTGGACAGCGGCGCCACCGTCGACCTGCTGGTCGCCCTCGGCGCCGTGGTTTAGTTCGACGTGTGCTTCCGGCCTGGTGAGCTGCTCGCCATTATTCCTGGGCGCGTGTGTGGCGGTGGCGGACATCGCGGTCGAGGTCGCGCCGCTCGGAGACGGTAAGCCCGCCGAGAACAGGGACTTCGACTGCGCGGTCAAGGCGGGAACGGACCTCCCGCTCCGCAGGCTG